CTCGGCAGGCTGCTGGCCAAGCCAGCACCGACTGCCCGGTTCAGCTGACCGGCAGTCCGGTCCAGACCGGTTCAGACCGGCTGGACCGGTTCAGTTCCAATTTTTACCGGTTCGATCCGTACTTTATGGTTTCAGCCCCGGTTCATGATTTCAGTGTCATTTTTAGTTAATATTCCGGGTTTAGTTCAGTTTAGTAAGTTCATGTCCGATCAGTTCATGTCAGGTCAGTTCCGGTTATTCCGGTTAAGTCCAAATATCATGTCAGGTTCAGTAGAGCATCTTAACGTAATTAATCAGTTAAGTTAACAGTCTGAGCATAGTCATTAGTAATTGTTTATATCATATTTCAGTTTGATCAGGTCACGAGCATCAGCACTACCTTTATTTTCACGGATCAGGTGGGGACTCAGACTAAGTACTACATTGATTATAATTACGGTACCATGTTTGAAGTATGTATTTCATGTCATGTATCCGCTCGGAATGGTCGCCGGTCCATTCTGGGTTCTAGTGGCCTTAGTCTGCCCACTAGAGTGTGCACATGGTGTCCGGCATTAGTTTGTGCCGACAGATGAGGTAACGGTCATGGTTCACGTTCACGTGATGATATCAGATTCATGTTCATGTTATTACCGGTTTCATGTTCAGGTTATGTATATGCCAAGATCATGATGTTGTTATTATTTTCAATGTTTACATTAGTATGAGTTTCCACGGAGCACAGTGTCATAGTGCTCACAACCCATTTTTATCATGTTTTTCAGGTCAGGATGTCGGGCCGGGAGCGTGAGATGACGGAGGCTTCAGGACTTTTATGTTTTGACTGTGTATATATTATGACGATATTACGTTTCCGCTGATTATGATTTTGACTAACTTATCTTTTGATCGTACTTTCAGAAAAAAATTATGCTTTCAGTAAACCGTATGATTTTATTAAAAATTAAGATGCCGGTTTTCCAAAATAAGTCACGTTTTTATGGTAGCACCCCGAATCAGTTTTCGCAAAGTAAAAGATTTTATTTTTAAATAACTTTGCAAAAATTTCGACTCTGATTTCACGATAAGGCGGGGTGTTACAAACATCATAGGTTTTTCTTCTGGAACCCCTCCCGGCATATTGCAGGTCGTCAAAGTTCCGAGCTAGTGCGGGTTTGTGAGATCGCGGTTCAACCGTTTCAAGTCAATTTGTGTAGCAATTTACTTCCTCAATGATTCTAGAGGAATTTCCTTTGACAAAATTAGCGCACAAGCCAAAGCAATGCTGGATCAGAACTTCCAAGTTCAGTTTACCACCTCCAAGGTCTGGTTTTAGGGTAGGAATAGTTTAAGGGCAGCTGATGCTTCAAGGTAGTTGCGAAGATGTTCGACAAAATTCGTATATATGGCACACATGATAAATCGTGTTTCCCAGAAATGACTAGCCAAGATGAGCCTGACAAAAGTGAAAAGGAAGAATCAGGTGGTTGTGCTCAGTAATGCCAATACATACATGAGGACTTGAAGGGAGTTTTCTGAGCTCTTCAAAAACATGTTTTAAGATGTCAAGCTTGAGAGCTCATCAAAAATTGCTAAAAAAGACCTCATAAGCTCTCACAATATGAAGTTAGGAGCTTACAAATTGATCAGATCCCTATTTCTTAATCCTTCCGTCCCAATTATCCGTTTTGTTTTTAACATTTTCTCGTAAAATAATAACCAATTTCAAGTATAAAAGACTCTCCCCCACTTCCTTCCCAATTTGCCCTTATCTACTCTTCTTCAGTTTACTATATTACTATGAGTATAAATTATTCAAAACCATTTACCACGATCCTTGGAAAAGGACAAACACGTCATTTCATGAAGTTTCATAATATATTTGGAAACTTTCCAAACAAATAAATATTTTTGGATGGATTATAGTTGTAAATTTTTTTTCCTTATACATTGAATTGGAAAAGGCCATCAGATATCTACAAGCCTTGTCTCTTAATTTTACCTATACTTCAGCAAGTTATTTCAAAAATAAATACAACATCTTACAAGCTCTAAAATATCTCATAATGTGTAGAGAACTTACACCAACTTCTCCATAAGCTAAGGTCTATCCAGTGCATTAGAAAGAATAATACTACAATTGGAAACTATAAAATGTTTTACCGAACACGATACATTGGATGTCATAGGAAATGACCAGCCATTAGAAGCTGTGGTTGTGGTTGTGGTTCTTCCATTTCCCTAGAGACCTCCTCCCGAATCTCCCGAGGCCTATTATCCTGCACTCCATCTACTAATTTCCACATGTCATCAGTTATGGCTTGAGTCTGCAAAATAAGGGGAAACAAATAAGGGAAACCAAAATAAAGAAAAGTCAATTTAAGATTCTAACAAGGATAATGAGTAATGAGGAAAGCATCCTAACAAGTCCAATGAAGAAACTAATGAGGACAATGGATGGAAAGGAGAGTAATCTATCTATCTAAACTTCTCTAAAAGGACGAGTAGTTAAAAAAAAATAAAAAATAAAAATAAAAAAAAATAAAACTGAAAAAACTACCTAAACAACTCTTACTTTGACATATTTTTTAATGTCAAATTAGTAATATACTAATACTCATCTAATCTTATATTTTTATTATTGAATACAAAAACACGAACAAAACATTCTCCTAACATACGTGCAATTACTCTTAGAGTACTTACTTCTATTTAATGTATGATAATTTCAAAAAATAATTGAGCGCATCGGAAGAATTATGTCTCCATGGGGTAGGTACCAATTTATTTATATGGGGAGGGGGAAGGGGAAGAGGAAGAGAGAGAAATGTAGTAATTTATACAATGATAAAAGAAATATCAGAAATTTGAATGACACAATTGGTTATTTCACATAAATATTTATGAATTGTTAGTAAAAATACCTTATAAAGATCATACTATCATTAAGTGTGACTATGACCAGAATAGAATTTTCCAAGTAATTGAATAAAGTAGACGTTTTGCCAAATGATTAAGAAGAATTTAATGTATTGAGCTCCAACGAATATGAAAGTTTCTTATGAGAACGTCAAAACCAAAATGAAAGAAAATCACTCTTGAATCATCTAACATAAATAAATAAAATAACTAATACAACGATGATATATGATATATATTAGGTCCTTATTTAGTTATTTAGTGTTCTGTTTTCCATTAGGGACTCATCTTTCATATATTTTTATTGAAGTTGTAATATGTTATTTCTTTTTCTTTACATTAGGACATCATTATGTTTATTTGAAAAAAAAAAAAAAAAAAAAAAAAAAAAAAAAAACATTAGGAGCTCATTAGTTCTACATTTTATTTTGTTCATGCAATGACTGTTTAATAAATTAATAAATTTATTTTACTAAATTTAGTCGGCAAAAAACATTCACCCGACATGGACGCACTTTACTAGTGGCTGAAAAAGTGCATAAGGACCATCTAAATCAAACATGTCTCCCAAAGCAAAGAATGAAACCCAACAAAATAGAAATCATGTGTCTAAATACCTCCATAGGCCGTGGAGCACCAAATGATGAATACCCCACATTTCCAGGTGCAAATGTCACCCTCCCCGGAAGTGATACACCATGAATCCCCCAACGCCCGGCATATACTAAGGCACCATATTCATCCAACTGTTTCATGGCAGGCTGGCAAGGAGGAAAATAATCAGCTTTCATGAAAGAATCATATGATTTATTATGAAATACAATAAAACAAATACATCAGGATAACCATAATTTAAAGTAGAAGCTGACAGCATACCTGAGGTATTCGAGGTGAGCTGTTGTAAATTTTCCAAATTTCATCTGCTTTAATCTCTCCTTTCTCAAGTAGGACATCTGTTAAGAAGAGTGTGAACTAATATCAGTAAGCACCAACGACAACAAGGATTAGGAAAAATCGCCACTTTTGAACTAAATGAAATTTTTTGAATAACTATAACAAAACATAGATAGCTTGATTAGAAATGTGAAAGAGTAACTAGCCTGCAATGGCCTCCACAGCAGGACGGCATTCTCTTATTACAGATGAGCATTTCTCCACAGCAAAACGAATGTATTCTTCTCTAAGTGCTTCAAGTTTGGCAGCCAACTGCAAAATAGTAAATACAAAACATAGGTGATAGCTTCTGGAAACCGACTGGATAGTAGAAGGTGAAAAAAATCGAGACAAAAAAGAAAAAATTGAATGTGTCCTCACATTAGGCACAAGATCCTTTCCAGATCTGTAGTAAGCTTTCCCAAAGGCAGTCGTTCCAGTTTTCAGGATCAAAAACTCGATACGTCTTGAAGCTTCCAGCAGTGATTTTGGAGAAATCCAACATAGATTATCAACTCCAAATATCTCTTCTTCAATCACTCTAGCTGCATTGTTTTAATAACCAAAGCAGTAAAACAAATGAATATATACTCCCGTTCATCCAAATGCAGCTATATAGGAGGCAGCACTTAGAAACATTCTTCAGGTAGAAAGTAGAAAGGAAGGATTAAGAATGCAGATGTTTATTTCAGATCATTTTAAGCAAGTATCAGTTGATTTGCATTTCAGAAGGGGGAAGAAGCACTGAAGTAAATGCAATTAAGTTCATTCATGTGTCATCCAGTTCAGCAATGAATTAATACTATTGACAGAGTAAAATTCAAATAATGCTGAGATAAATTGATGCAGTATAATTATTCACCGGAACTCATTTAGAGTAGTAATGTTTTCCCCTTCTATTGCTTCCTATACCTCCTTTCTTATATCAAAACAGTAAATTGTACAATTGATAATGTATTCTCCAGAATTCTTGATTAAGCAGCTATGGTTCTTTTTGATATTTGCGAAACAACATTTGATTAAAATAATATCTACTCAGGATGAAGAATATATTTGTATAAACTATAGCTCAACTACAGTACAATAATATTTCAATTTCCAAAAAGTAAAGAAAAATTAAGAAAAACTTCCCAGCACCAAATCATTTTCGCTTACAGCAGATAGCAAGTAAGAATTTAAAACATGGTATCCCGCATCACTTCAACAAGACACCTTCAGTAAACAGTATACATGATATATTCAATTTGAACAGCTGACAATTCCAATCACAATTTTCAACAATACAGAAAGCATCTTGGAATCGCTTTTTTTCATGTAATCAACTAATCATAGATAAGTTTGGATCAGAAATCCACCAACAAGCCAAAACCAAGGCCTCTCAAAATAAGCTTTTGGACTGAAAAATGCATGCTCCACTATGTTATGGTATATGCTTAGAGAAATACACTAGGCAAAAGTTGCGAAAACTAGCTAGCTTCAACGAATCTGTATTGGTTTTTCTAAATACAAAAAAAAAA